TACTTACCTGGCATTGCTCTCGAGTACCCATCTTCAACATCTTATGCTTCCAGAGAAGATACCACATCTGCCTGAGGAACAGATAGGGAAAGTGATAAGGATACAAGGAAGCATGTGGAGACAAGCGTAACAGAACACGTGCCGATACATCCACTACTTTGTCAACAGCAAAAGTATCTCATATCAGCAGGGTCGAACGTACTCTAGATTTGATGGACGTGTTTTGACCCTCAAATTCTTCAGTCGGCCTTATACTCTGAAGGAAACCAGAAAATCCTCCAGCCCAATTCAAGAATAAGCCTGTGGAAATTTACTTCTTCAAAAGCAAAAGTATCTCATATCATCTATTCTCCTTTTCTTCTCTTTATCCTTCATGTTGCCTGCAAGATAGGGAGAATGAGAACAATCAGCCGGAACTCGAAATCAAACTTCTGATCTGGGACTGATTGCTTGGAGCTCTGATTGCTTACCTTGTCTGTCACTTCTTTCAGCAGATCCCCTAGCTCGGCGACTTGGGGGACTCCTACTACATGGTTTGTATCGCGCTTGACCAAGCCTAAAACTACAAGTAAGCTTCAAGTGAAATTGATACATTACCTTGTGCATCTCCACCAGTTAAAGATACCACCCCTGGATGGAGGAAGCATACTTCCAGAGAAGACGCCACATCTACCTATGAGACAGTTAAGGCAAGTGAAGACGAGAGCCTGCACCTATCTCATTTGTACTAAATCATTCACTTGTACTCACTAAAGGAGAGCTTGAACCTATGTACTTGCGTAAACCCTTCACAATTAATGAGAACTCCTCTACTCCGTGGACGTAGCCAATCTGAGTGAACCACGTACATCTTGTGTTTGCTTTCCTGGCTCTATCCATTTACATACTTATCCACACTAATGACCAGAGCAATCTAGCGAAGATCACAAACTTAATACTCTCTGTTGTACCAAAGTCCTCACTGATTTTGGGCATCAACAATCCTTAAGTCCTTACCTTTTTGCGTTGGTAATGGATGAGTTAACAGGACATATTCAAGATGATATTCCTTGGTGTATGCTTTTCGCAGACGATATAGTGTTGATAGATGAAACTCATGAGGGGTAAATGCGAAGCTTCACTTTTGGAGAGCAGTGTTGGAATCTAAAGGTCTTCGCCTAAGCCGATCAAAGACAGAGTATATGGAGTGCAAGTTCATTGCAAATGGAGGCCAAAATGAGTTAGGGGTGAGGATCGGAGATCAGGAAATACCAAAGAGCGATCGTTTTCCCTACCTAGGATCTATCTTGCAAAAGAACGGAGAATTAGATGGAGGTCTTAACCATAGAATACAAGCTGGATGGACAAAGTGGAAGAGTGTTTCCGGCGTGTTGTGTAACCGTCGTAGGCCACTAAAGCTCAAGGGAAAATTTTGTAGGACGGCAATAAGGCCGGCGATGCTGTATGGCATACAATGTTGGGCGGTGAAGCATCAACACGTACACAAAATGGGTTTGGACATGTACAAAGAAGGCCTACTGACGCTCCGGTTCGAAGATGGGACTACGGGATAGAGGTTCAGGGCCGAAAGGGTAGAGGTAGACCTAGGAAAACTTTGGAAGAGACCCTAAGAAAAGACTTAGAGTACTTGGATCTAACGGAGGATATGACACAAAACCGCGCGCAATGGTGTTCTAGGATTCATATAGCCGACCCCACTTAGTGGGAAAAGGCTTTGTTGTTGTTGTTGTATCCTTTTTTTTTTTTAGTTCTTAATTATAAAAAATAAAAAATGTTATTTTATTATTTAAATATTTTTTAAATCATATGACAATATTTAATTTTTATGAGACCCAATTAAGTGTTACATCATCACATAACATAATATTTAACAAAGTTATGATGGAATGACCATATTAATTTTCAATTTTCAAGGATCATCTTGATGGTATTGGTCAATTTTAGAGACCATTTGTGATAAAAAAAAAAACCCCTTAAAAAATTATGAACCTTCTATCTATTTACTATTATTGATTGACTAAACGATCTTATCTTTTTAAAGTGGTATGTAACATAAACAATTTCGATTATAAACACGAAATTCTATGTATTGATCACAAAATATCTTTAGGAGAAAATCCTCCTTGATTTTAAGGAGCCAAACCGTTCTTTTTTAAAAATGGTCCTACCAAATATGAATTCAAGGCCTAAAACTCAAAAAATGTCTTTTAAGTTTAAAACATTGAACTCAAATAGGATACCAAGCAAACCTTTAGTAATCAAAATGGTGGATTCTATATATGCAAACTTTTACTTGTTCTCGAAAATTATAAGATTGTTCAGTTAATGATTTTGGCTGCATAAGGAATATAAGAATGTTCTTATATGAATTGTTGTGTTTGTTTGAACTTTCGAATGTTGAATTTACTTAACCGTCCTCTCTCTCACCTCATTTTTAAAGACACTAGCAATAGATTTGGAAATCATAAAGTTGGAAAATGCTGCCTTATATGTCCTTGGAAATTTTAAGATGGTTTGGTTGACAGATTTTGGTTGCTAAGAATATAAAAATGTTCTTTTAACTTTCAAATGTAAAATTTGTAGTGTAATTGAGCTAAATCACTACAAAAAGTATTGAGCTCAGACCTAAACCACCAAATTGCCAGGAACAAATCGCCCGCTAGTGGTTTGGTTTAGTTTGATTTCTCCTTTCATTTTAAGCTCAAATCAAACCAAACCGTTTTGTTCAACAAGTTGGTTCAACCACGATTTAGAGGTAAAACGGATCTAAACCGTGGCAGGCACATAGAATCTAAACTACATATTAATAAAACTCTTTTTGTCAGTTAAAAGAGGATAAAAAGACTATTTAGTCTTCTATCACAACAAAAAAGTTAAAGGGCGGTAACTTAATTTCACAAAACAAAGTTTTGCTATTTTTTATTGAAGCCTCACTTACAAGTGATTTTAACATCTCTAATTTTTTAAAATTAAAAACTTAAAAAAATAAATAAATAAACCTCTCTCCCTTTCTCCCTATTCCCACATTCTCTCTTATGGTTCGTTTACTTACCCGTAATCAAAATAGGAGGAAATGAATTGATGAAAAATTGAATTGAGGATGAGTTGGAATGAGGAAAAGTCAAAATCAGAGCTGTTTACTTAAATTGACTAGAATCAAAGTAAAATTGAAACTGAATTTACGTAAGTTGTTTACTAATTCACTTGAATCGGATTAGAAATTAATATAATTACTAAAATACCCTTTTTCATAATAAATTATTATTTTTCTATTATTTTATATACTAATTAAATTATTCATATATAATTAACCTTTAATTAGTTTTATTCATTTTTACCTATGTATTTCATCGTTTATAGTCTCGTTTTTTATTAGTAAATAAATTATTTTATTGTCTAATTAATAAAAACATTAATTAATTTCTTATGAAGAGAAAAATAAAAAACAAAAGGATTTGCCGAACTTATCTCTTAGAGTAGCACTCTCCCTCTCTCTCTCTATTCCCCACCGTCACACTCTCTCTATTCCCCCACCGTAAAACTCTATATTCAGTGTATCTCATGGCAACTCTTGATAAAGAATTGAAGAACCACCACACCGTAACTCTCTCTCACTTTCAGTTTCTGATTACAAAATTCTCTAGATGTTAGGATCCTTTAGGCTACTATGGGTTACTAGTAGTTATTAGGCCCAGTATTAATGTTAAGCCCATTAAACCCACCAAAACCCTAGCTACCCTTTTATGTATTTAAACCACTATGTTCATCTGTATATGATATGAATGAAAAGAACTGTTATTTTATTTCTTACTTTCCTTTCATTTAACTTTTTTTCTCCATTCCTACGGAATGGGTCATATCATCTAGTATCCAGAGCCCAGGTGTGCTTCCATGGGCAAACGCCCTGCATCGGTGCCCATGGTCGACGTTTTGAAGGTGTGACTCGACCGGCAGTTTCCGCAGCAGCAAATCATCACTCAAATTGTAACATCCCACATCGCCCAGGGAAGTGATCTTTAAATGTATATTCACATCCCTATCAAGCACGAGGTCTTTTGGAAGCTCACTGGCTTCGGGTTCCGTCGGAACTTCGAAGTTAAGCGAGAAGGTGGCCAGAGCACTCCTATGATGGGTGACCTACTGGGAAGCTGCTCGTGAGTTCCCAGAAACAAAACCGTGAGGGCGTGATCGGGGCCCAAAGCGGACAATATCGTGCAACGGTGGTGGAGCGGGCCTGGGAAGTGATCCGCCCTGGGTCGGGATGTGACAAATAGTATCAGAGCCAATCCCTGGTCGGAAGTGTGCCAACGAGGACATCGGGGCATCTAAAAGGGTGGATTGTAACATCTCACATCGCCCAGGGGAGTGATCCTTAAATGTATATTCACATCCTTACCTAGCACGAGGCATTTTGGGATCTCACTGGCTTCGGGTTCCGTCGGAACTCCGAAGTTAAGCGAGAAGGTGGCCAGAGCACTTTTGTGATGGGTGACCCACTGGGAAGTTGCTCGTGAGTTCCCAGAAACAAAACTATGAGGGCGTGGTCGGGGCTCAAAGCGGACAATATCGTGCTACGGTGGTGGAGCGGGCCCAGGAAGTGATCCACCCTAGGCCGGGATGTGACACAAATCCACAACTTCCGTGACAAGGTCACGATGATGAACCTCCATTAGGTTGAGCTAGAGCACCAACTCACTGATATGCAACACTCTCTCGCAAATCTGGTAGTCCTCAATGCTCGATAGGACCAATTCCAAGAGACTTGTCTTGAAGAGCTCCGATCTCTAAAGACCAAACCCCTCACTCTTCCTCAACGCACATGGAGTACTTCTCTTCACCATTCCTCAGCCCACCCGAAGACCCTTTTCGCCACTTGTCCTTCGTCCCTCTCTCCCACCACGTCGCCATTCCACTCATTTTCCCACCTCGTTGGTCATTTACCCTTCCCTATATATTTACCCCAGCCACATGCCATTGTTCCCCCTTCTCACCGGCCCTCTCTACCAACCTCATTTGCACCGGGTGCACCCACACCCCTGTTTGGAACCTTCTGCATTTTCGCTTCCCTACTATTTGGCACAACTTCCTCGTCCCACTCTTCATCTTCTGTAGCTCCAACCACCCAATCATTCCAATGTTTCTCCATCTTCTTTATACATCAAACCACCCACCCCCCGCCCTCATCACCACTACCCTTATCTCCAACTGAGCTCTACTGGGCAGCTACGACGACCCCAACAAGACGCCCACCTCCTTTTCCGACTCATCCTCTCCCTCCACCTCACTCCTCTTCAAACCCCCAATTGCAGACCCATCATCGTCGCCGTCCCCTTCGCCATATTCAACCGACCTCCAAATCCTTCCCAACTCCCTCCGCTCTGTTTCCTTCTACTCTCACGACCATAACCTCTTCTTCAACTCCAGCAACTCGCACTACAACCCAAGCCTCTTTCACTATGTCATCTTCTCGATCCGCTTTTTCCTGCAGCTACCTCCTCAACCGCGTCACTCAATCCACGACCTCCGCCACCGTTTAGCTCCAGACAGTTTCAGCGTCTCAAAATAGCAAGGATTTCGGGAAGGAAAAAATAACCAACTAATTCACCAGGAAATGCTCGATCGGGCAGGTGTGCCAGGTGATCGGAGCTGTCGTTGATGTGAGGTTCGAGGAAGGGCTTCCCCAATCTTGACCGCGCTTAAGGTGTTGGACAACTCAATCCAGTTAATGCTCGATGTGGCTCAGCACTTGGGTGAGTATAAGGTCAGGACCATTGCTCAGGATGAGACTGAGATACTTATGAGAGAACATCGTATGCTCAACACTAGTTCTCCGATCACTGTTATTGTTGGAATGGCTACCCTTGGTCATATCATGAACGTCGTTAGAGAGCCCATTGACCATAGAGGGGATATCAATACCGATCACTTTCTACCCATTCATAGAGAAGCTCCTACCTTCGTTGAGCAAGCAACTAAGCAGCAGATCCTTGTTACTAGAATCAAGGTTGTCGACCTTCTTGCTCCCTACCAAATAGGAGGAAAAATTGGATTGTTCGGTGGTGCCGGTGTTGGAAAAATTGTGCTTATTATGGAACTTATCCATAACATTGCTAAGGTTCACAGTGGTTTCTCTGTGTTTGCTGGTGTTGGAGAACGTACTCGCGAGGGTAATGACTTGTACAGGGAAATGATTGAGAGTGGTGTCATTAAGCTAGGTGAAAAGTATGCTAACAACAAATGTGCTCTAGCGTATGGTCAACTAAATGAGCCCCCTGGTGCTCATGCTCGTGTTGGTTTGACTAGGCTCACTGTGGTTGAACACTTCCGTGATGCTGACAGGGTCTTTTTGAATGAGATAAATATTGATGTGAACATGACTGAGCACCATTACAGGGATTACATGTTCTAAGATGCACTCAAGACTGGTTTTACGATCTTCAGGCTTTTAGGGATAAGTACAGGCTTTCATGTGCTTTTGGGAGCATAAACCGTGAATTGCTGTGGCATTTTAGGGGCGCAGACAAGTCTTATTACTCCAATTTGTCCGCACTATGCAGAATATGTCTAAAGGGAACTTTTGAAAACGGAAGGGTTTGTGGTCAATGCAGGATGGCCTGTGTCTGATTATCCAGATATAATCTTCCATAATGCTAACAAGTATTTGCAACATTCCATTGTTGTACTGAGGTAACTTTTTGAAAAGAAAACTTCAGGCTCAACGAAAGCTAATAAGAAGGGTCATCTAGTTAAAGCATCGACGGAAACCACAAGGTTGATTGGTTTAATATATGTAAATGAGCAATTCGATGGATGGAAGGCGAAGTGTTTGAGGATACTACAGAGTAACTTGGACAGTGATACTCGCACTTTTGCTCCAAACAAGGTAATTCTGGATGCTTTGCAAAGAAGTTTAATTAGTTTAATTTATGTGCCAGCTGATGACTTGACAGATCCTACTTCTGCCACTACCTTTGCTCACTTGGATGCCACAACTGTGTTGTCACGACAAATCTCTGAGCTTGGTATCTACCCTGAATTCTCACTTAATTATCTTGATTGCTGGTTCCTAAAGAATTATTTACTAACTAGAAATGTTCAGCATGATACTAAGACCATTTTGGTTTCTCCCACTACCTTGTTGACTAGCACCTTTGGATGGGTGAGTTCGTGTTATGTGGATAGTTTTGTACGGATGATTGTTGGGAAAGTATTTGATGAAATGTTGCTTGGTCATTATGATGCATTGAATGTATACGGTGCGAGCCCAGGTATATATAGGTAGCTCCCCATTCATTTTTTCGGAACACAACTGAATGAAGGGTCAATCTCTGCATCCCTTGGCTCTAAGCAGTTACCAGGCTTATTGACTTCGAGCTGCCTGTGAAATAACCATCAGCATCAGATAGTTCTACGATTACTAAATCGTCAACTTGCAATCCTATGTGTTTAGATGGGAGTGATTGAGCTAGTAGTTACATGTTTGATTCAGAGTGTTCGGGTGTCATGAGCAGAATTCAAGCTTGTAAGACAGTAGAAGAGTATGGACAATCTGAATTCAAGGATGTATCATGTGGGAAAACCATATGGCATGACTTGGCGAATGCAGCAGGAACTCATAATTTTGAACTCAAATATATAGATGGCATGTCTCCTACAAACAGGCTTCTATAAGAATTTAAGCTGCTGTGGACATCTATAATTATTGCAGAAGACACATGTTGTCTGGCTCCTCGGTTTATACAAAGGTCATATGGCACAACAGCATATATATATTGTGTTGGTTTAACCAATTTAGTGGAAAAGCTAAGGTGTGGGGAACACATATGACACGTGGACTGCAAAGACCTTTTACACAGCTACTGCAAGCTCAATATTATTCCAATGGCCACATATTTGAGTGTTAAAAGTGATTTGGAATTCATTGCTCCCCCGTATGTAACTTCGGTTTATGGCTCATATGCATTTGAAAGCTATTTTCCAAAATGTCTACATTTATTCAAGGCTCTTGTTGATCTACACTTTCAGGGTGCGTTTGTTGCACCGGACTATCTCGGACTGGACTAGCTTTAGGGACTAAGTTGGACTGGGTTAGACTAGACTAAGCTGGACTGTCTTAGTGAAGCGTTTGATGCAGTGTCGGACTAAACAACAGGATAACAACAAATTCTAATATTATATTTTTTCATTTATATTTTATTAATATTTTATATTATTTAATACATATTTAGTAATATTTTATTACTTCCACTGTCTATTTGCTTTTTCATTCTGAAACCACCCATCTCCATTTCTTCCTAATTTTGCTCCGACCCTCTCCCTCTCTTCGTCTTTTTCTTTTCCTTTCCACTCTCTCCTTCCTCAAAACAGCGTCATTCATCACCCCCTTTTGTTCTCTTTTTTTTTTCCCTTTCCTTTTCTTTGCTGTTGTGATTCCTCTAAGACCGAGGCGAACGCTAAGCCGAGGGAGGATGACGACTAGCCCGAAGAAGGAGAGATCATCGGCAACCAAGACTCGGCGTCGTCGAAGCCTTCGAAGGGAATTGCACCGTAGTCTCACGCCCTGGAGCACTCCTGGACCTTCTGGTTCAATAGCCCTGCCGCAAAGTCCGCCAAGTCCAAGCAGAAGGATTGGGGCAGCTCCATCGGCCTGATCTACGCCTTCATTACCGTCGAGGAGTTCTGGAGGTTAATTTCTTTCATTTCATGTGGTTTTGGGTTTAATTTTGTTTGATTGGTAGGAAAACTGAGAAAAGATTGAATTTTTGCGTTTGTTATGTGCTTGTTGTAGTTTGTGATAGAACAAATTTGGCCATTTTTTGGTGGTGGAAGAACCCTCGCAGGGAGGAGGAAGAAGCCCAGAACTCACAGAAGGGCTCTCAGGGAGGAGGAAGAAGCCGGTCTTAGCAAGTCCCATGGTTTGGGGAGTGCCTCGCTAAGAACCTTTAAGGAGGCCTCTAGTCCACACGAGTCCCCTTTAGTCCCACTTAACGTAGTCCCATCACCTATCAAACATGGGACTGTAGTCTAGTCCAGTCCAGTCCCTCCTAAGGAGGTGAAACAAACGCCCCCTCAGTGGTATCATGTTTTTACAACGGTTGTCTCAATGTCCAGGGTATTGACTGCTCCAAGAGCACTAGCACTTTTATCCAACGAGTCAAAATCAGTTTTTTTGTCAAGTATTCTCTAGATTTGTACCCCTTGGTTCTCTTGCGTTTACCTTGGTCAATGACTCGCAGCAGTTGGAGCTCAATGTCCAAGTTAAGAAGTTGCTCGAAAATCAAATCTCACTTTTCATTGATTATATCTCAGAACTTTCATGGATTATGGTCGCAACAAGGGAATTTCTTACATGGCAGCATAGTGTAAGCTTTTATGTATTCCACCAATGGCATGCCATCTTCTCCAATTTTTCACGGTCTTTTGGTTCTTTGGGTTTATTATTTGACAAAAATTGGCTATATTACATGCTTGCTGGAATGGTGGTCTATTTGGAGACTCATACTGCAATTGTTTTAGAGGTCTATTTGGAGACTCATAACTGGGAAACCAAGCAAAGCCAAACCTCTACATACCAACTTGAAGACATGCCTTATTTTAAGGGGGAGGGAATGTTAAGATCCTTTAGGCTACTATAGGTTACTAGTAGTTATTAGGCTCAGTTAAGCCCATTAAACCCACCAAAACCCTAGCTACCCTTTTATGTATTTAAACCACTATGTTCATCTAAATATGATATGAATGAAAAGAACTGTTATTTTATTTCTTACTTTCCTTGCATTTTCCTTTTCTTCTCCATTCCTATGGAATGGGTCCTATCACTAGAGACAAGTAGAGAGAGATGGTTGGGAGTGGTTGCAATGGGTATAAGATATGGCCCTGGGCAGGGGTGGGTGCGGTGGTGAGGAGATGAAAAATTTGCAGAGCTATGTTAGGTGCTAGACAATGTCTCTCTGGTGAGATGAAGGGCCATGTTGGAAATAAAAACCAACTGAGGACACAATTTGGAAAATAAATTCATTCTGATGACCCACTTCTTTCAGAAGCCAAATCCTCCCTCATATAGGGAGTCCAAATCCTCCAAAAACAACAATTGGATTCCAGAATTCGGATGGGACCCACATATGACATACCCTGATCCTAGAATCAAGGCGTGCTGGCCGTCACGTGAGCGTGACGTAACCAAAAGTGCGACGCGGAAGCAATAAGATAAGAGAAATACGAAGAAATAAAAACCAACTACTAGCAATAATATCCAACTAACATGCTAGAGAGAGTTTAAGTGTGAAACACACATAATCAGAGCATAAGTACTAGGTGCAGTCTAGTAGGAACATTACTAAATTACAACGCCCGAAGGTGAGTCCTACATGAGTAGTTTGTCAGAACGCCGTGGGAATCCTCGTGAGCCACAAACACAGCTAACTAGAACCTGGAGGGGCACAAAACAAGATTGTGTGGGTCAGTAAAACCAAAGTTTTTCAAAAACATTTCATTTAACAACATTTCTAACCCCTCGCTGTAAAACTTGTATACTTTCCCAGAAAATAACATAATATGCATATAATTCTTCAAATATCTCAAATCACCATTCTTTATCAAAAACCAGAAAGCATGCCATGCATACATATATATGAATTATATGAATTAGTAATTGTTGCATATATATGTTAAATGGTGTTGTGGACGCATAGGTGAGTATCAGGTGAGTTATAATGTTCATTTGATTTATTGATGATGTGAATTGTGTTGAGAGCTCATAACCTGCACAATTGGTGTTAGTGCTTATATTATTCACCCTGCACCACACGCTCACCTTGGATCCAAGTAGGTGCATGTCATACAGACCATGAGAGGTGGTTCCGACATGTCGTACAGACCATTAGAGTTGGTTCCGACTCGTAGGTGACTTTTAGATTATTATACAGCTGTTGATGAGAGAAGCACTAAAGCGTATTCTTACACCATTCTTGTCGTATAGGCTACTTCAGGTAGTTTCGATTTATGTGCAGAGTAGTGCCGTACAGGTCACTGTGGTGACTTCGGTTAGATTGGATATTGAGCTATAGAATTAGCCGAACATGACCGCTGCAGGGTCTCCGGTTGATTCCTTATTTCACCTGTTATATTAATGCATTCTTATTATGTTGTTGACGCTTATTGTAACATCCCACATCACCCAGGGAAGTGATCGTTAAATGTATATTCTCATCCCTACCTAGCACGAGGCCTTTTGGGGGCTCACTGGCTTCAGGTTCCGTAGGAACTCCGAAGTTAAGCGAGAATGAGGCCAGAGCACTCCCAGGATGGGTGACCCATTGGGAAGTTGCTCGTGAGTTCCCAAAAACAAAACCGTGAGGGCGTGGTTGGGGCCCAAAGCAGACAATATCGTGCTACGGTGGTGCAGCTGGCCCTGGAAGTGATCCGCCCCGGGCCGGGATGTAACAACATAAATTTTGATTCCTCCACGTTAGGTAAACAAAGGAGTGTCCTGTAATCAGAATTCAATTCCGAATTTTATTTCCGATTACGAGTATGTAAACGTGTCATTACTTTTTTCCCTTTTTTTTTTTCAAATCTCTCTCTCTCTCTCTCTTCTCTCTCCTTCAATTTTAAAAACAAAAAAAAAAAATTCACACACTATTTTTATTTAGGTTTAAACTCAATTTACTATCCTCAAGTTTCATGGTTTTCAACATTTAGTACATGAAGTTTTTTTCAGAGTAATACCTAAAGTGTAATTTTGGGATAGTCTCATACATCTATTAAGTTTTCCGTTAGAACTTCTGTTAACTGATGATGTGGCACCACGTGGACAATTACTGGGCGCCACGTGTTAATATGGGCCCACTTCAATATTAAAAAAATTAAAAAAATATAAAAACAAACAAACAAACATCTGTACCCATCTTCTCCCCCTCACCCTCTCCTTGAAAATAATTCAACCTAAACCCTAAGCCACAGGGATAAGCGGCTCTGAAAGGTCAAATCAGCTTCTTCTCTCGATCAATTTGCAAGGATTGCACAGTGGTGTAGGGGCTGAAATTCGTGGAGATCAACATCCACGTGTATCCGAATCGCAAGAAAGACCTGGTGGAAAGGATGGATGGCTCATATGTACCTCATATTTTCTTCAACGAGAAGCAGTTTGGAGGATTGGTGGCGCTCAACTCGCTAAGGAACAGTGGCAGCTCGAAATGTCCTTACGACGCGCCTCCGCCGTTGGTTTACGGATTCGACGATCTGGATGAGGAGGAGTTACCGGACCAGATGATAAGTATAGTTAGGGTGTTGCGGCTGAAGTTGCTGATTCAGGACCGTCTAATGAAGATGAAGATCGTCAAGAACTTCTTCGTCGGAAGCGAGATGGTGGAGGTCCTCATTCAGCACTTGGACTACGGGCACTCAACAATTTATACCCGACCCACCTCCACCCTCTTCACCTCCCCTCCCTTCTTTCTTCTCCATCCTCTTCACCTCACCCTTTAAAAAAACCCTAATCCCCCAAATTAGGGATTTGGGTCAACTGGGTTTTTGATAAATTTTAGAAATTGGATGGGTTTCTTGTTGAATTGGAATTCCTTTGGGTGGGATTTTGTTGGGTTAAGTGTGCGTGGAGGGTGGGTGCGGGTTGTAGAGGAGAGAATGGAGGGCGGTGGTGCAAGTGCAAAAGAGAGAAGGGAGGGAAGGGGTGCGGGTTGCAGAAGAGAGAATAGAGGGAGAAGGTGGGTACAGATGTTTGTTTTTTTTTTTTTTTTAATTTTTTAATATTGAAGTGGGCCCATATTGACAAGTGGCGCCCAGTAATTGTCTACGTGGGCGCCACATCATCAGTTAACAGAAGTTCTAACGGAAAACTTAACAGATGTATAAGACTGTTCCAAAATTAACACTTTAGGTATGACTCTAGGACAAAAAAAACGTTTTGTACTAAATGTTAAAAACCACGAAACTTAAGGGTAGTAAACTGAGATTAACCATTTTATTTAATATGATTGTTATTTGACGATCAAATATAATTTATGTGAATATATGTAACTTATACAATCATCATATAACCATTGAGATGGTGATTATATTAAATATACATAAGTATTATAACGAAATCTTCTTTTTTTTTTCACATGATGACATTGAGATTAAGGGTCCGTTAAACTATCTAATGAGCCAATAATAATTTAGAATCGAATTATTTGTTTATAAAATTTGAATATGAGATCTTCTACTTAAAATTGGAAAGAAATACTAGTTGTATTTTAAAGCTACACTCAAATGGTTTAGTTAAATACTACAATTTTTTTTTAACTAACGATATTATCTATATTAAGAGAGTCAAATAGTGGGCTAAGCCTTAAAATAGGCTAGCAATAATGTAGTTCAAATTCGTTTTTGGCAATAATCAAACTAAGATCTCTCACTTACAAGTGAAGAAGAATATCACTATATCGTAGTACTAAGTGACAATATTGCAATATATTAAGTACGTACTAATAGTTTATAACAAATAAATACTGGAAAATATTGTACTCATTTACACCTTACTAAGATTTTCATATTGGAAAACTAAATACAGTACCTTACCTATCTAGTTGTCTGGTTTTGCACAACGTCATATGGAAAATTAAAACTAAAACAAAACCGAATATTAGCTGAACTGTATTGAATTGAGAAGTGGTTTTCACACCTTTTTTTTATTATTAACTTCTTACACATTTTTTTTTGTTTCTGGTTATCAGATTGAAAATGTTAAGTAGAACAAATGGCCAAAATTAGGCAAATATGTGCAAAAGGCTAAAACTAGTGTGTGTTTATCATTTCCCCATTGAATTTTGATGGCTTTTGCGAAGATAAACCTAGAATCATGAGGCTGGATCAGGGAAAGCAATCCTTTCCGGATCTCTCCCTCCAAAGTCTAGGGATCAAGTAATCTGGGCCTTTAAAATTTGATCCAACAGCTAAAAACAAATAAAGTAAAAACTTTTAAAAACTATAATAATTTTTAGTCGTTTGATCAAATTTTAAAGGTCTAGATCACTTGATCCCTGGGCTTTGGAGGAAGAGTTCCGAAAAAGGTCTCTTTCCTTCTGAACTATTCTAGGCATATTATGCATCCACACATCCCGTTTTACTTCTCACACACATTTTTAATTTTCGGCCGTCGGATCGAATGAATTGAAGAAGATCAACGAATAGAAATTATTAAGGGTGTGTGAGATGTAAAATGAGGTGTGTGGATAGCACATCCCTTTATTTTTCCCTCTAGCTTTATTTATTTATTTTTTCTCTAGCTTACTGGTTAGGTGAGCAAAAAGCCGATTAGACCAGGATGAAACAAATTCAAGAACTTGGGTTAGGTTTATATGCTAAAGTAATTTGATTTTGAACGGAACCGAATCAACCCCGTCGTATACAGCTTGGTTATCAAACCAAACCGCATATATTTCAGCTTAATGTTATATTACAAAGGGTGGTGCTATCCACACACCCATTATTACATGCTACACATTACTCTCAATTTCGCCCGTTGAATTGAATTGATTAAATAACAAAAATTAACATAATGTGTATGAAAAGTAAAAATGAATGTGTGGATAACACCGCTCTTTATAAATAAAAGCTTCTTTTTAGTTTCTTCCATTTGTTAATTATCTTATTCCCTCCCAGACTTTGACATCAAGTTATAAACCATGCATCTCTCTTTAAATCCCTCCTTTTTTTCTCGTTATGAAGTTCATCAGTACTGTTCAATACAAAATTGAAGTTCCTCTTGACTTATATACGTTATAGAATAAAGAGTATTCTCTTAGTTGTTTGTTTAAGGAAAATTTGCCAAACCTGGCAATTTACTATATTAATTTCGTTTGGTTCGATTATGCAACTAATTTGATGTTCATTGTTTGTTTTTGTCGATTACTTGTTTTTGTATTAGTTCACTTTTTCGTGCGTTGTCAATGTGTTTGTTGCAATATACGCACTACATATCATTTTCGTTGGTGATTTTCATTTGCCTTCAAGACTAGAGAAGGATTTGAGTAGAAAGGGTTGTCATGTAATGGTTTCTCAAACTAATCATACATTGTCTATATGAACCACTTGAAACGTCACTAGAATGGGAATCTTGATACCAACTTGTCACACCCCGATTTTCAATTTTCCTTCTTCGCTTAAGGGTGTGAACAAGGAAAACTAGACGGGAAAAAAAAATCCAAAGAAACTTTTATTCAAACAAAAGTAAATTGCATGGTACTATTACAAGAAAAGTAAAGGAAAAGAAACAACACATTCTCAACTTATTTTTTTCACAAGACCAAGTGTAAACATTTGCAAGAAGATCTTGAAGTTTCTGGATCACAGACTAAACTTCCGGTTGAAACCCTGCAACAAATTCATAAAGGGTGAGCCCTAAAAGCTCAGCATGGATCCTTTGTCTAACATGTTTTTTTATTAAATAAGAGATAAACTAACTCAAGATAAAAAAGAAAATTATATATTATCTTAATGAATATTGTACATTTTCCTAAAAACAAATTTAAAGATGATCAGACACTTGTTACTGGATATAAAGATTAATTTAACCTTGTAATTATGTAATTAAATGTCAAAAAACTGTAGGGTTTCAATTCATTACTGTGGAAGATTTGTTTAAGTAGCAGCAACTTTTCCTAAAGGACAACACAAATGGATGGTACAAATCAAATAAAAATAACAACCCTTAATTTTTACATTAAAAAGTCAACTAGAGAGGGACCCAAGAAACCATAAAGGGTGCTTCCAAAGACCAACTCGCCACCAAGGGTTGCGAGCTGCCAAAGGCGATACTGCTTATATGCAATAACTGAGGGGTAAAAGTTAGTTGTATTAGTCAAGCATATGCAATAATTGAGGGGGTGGCTGGAATAATGTTGCAGTTGCTTTGCTATGTTCAACAATTACTCCACTGAATTTTATTCGAATGAAAGCAATTAGTGTGTTTAATGAATGAAAGTAAAGAACTTGTAGTGTCATTTACATCGAATTACAATCATATCTTTCGAGACAAATAAGATGATTTTTTAGAAACTAATGATGCATTTAAGGAAATTTGTTTACAAAATTTAGAAACTTAGTTCCTACGTTTTCTGATTCGTTCGTTGAATTTGAAGGTTTTGGCAGCTCACCAAAATCTAGTTTTCCAAATAGCATCTGGAACACCAGATTTTGTATTGCTTAGTTCAATCTCTTTGGAAGAACTTGTTGCATTAGTTTCTACTTCTGTTAATCCATCATTTGCATTTGATGGTTTTGGAAGCTCGTGAATATTACCTTCTGAAACTTGCTTTAGTGCAGCATCAGCAGTGATAGTTTCTTGAACAGACCTTAAGTTGCTTGATTTAGTCTCGGGAGTAAAACTCATTGCATTAGTTCCTACTTTTGTTGATCCGTCCTTTGAATCCGATGGTTTTGATAGCTCAACAATAGTCTTTTCTGAAACTTGTTTTGACACCGTATAAGAAGTGATAGTTTGACTAACTACATCAATTCCTAGTTTTTCATATCCATCCTTAGACAATTTTGTTAGCTGGCCAATATCACCTTCTGAGATTTGCTTCAAAGCCATTTTAGTAGCGATAAATTCTTAAACACCGGGTCCTGCATTGCTTGATATAACCCCCTTTGTAGAACCCTCTGCACTAGTTCTTACTTCTGCAGATTCGTCCTTTGAAATTGATGGTTTTGGAGGCTCGCTCACATTTTTTGAAACTTGGTTCACATAAGTATGAATAGTGATAATATCTTGAACACCAACTTCTGTATTGTTTGATGCAATATCCTTGGCAGAACCCACAGTATTACTTTCTACTTTTCTTAATTCATCATTCAAATCCGATTGTTTTGGCAGCCCGCCAACTTTACCTTCTAAGACTTGTTTTAAAGAAGTATCAGTAGTTATGGTTTCTTGAATACCAGAATCTGTATTACTTAATGTGGTCTCCTTGGTAGAACCCATTGCATTCGCTTCAAGTTTTGTCGATCCATCCTTCAAATCCAATGCTTTTAGTAGCTCACCAACACTACCATCTAAGACTTGTTTCAAAGCAGTATCAGTAGTGATCGGTTCCGCGTTGCTAGATCTTGTATTGGTTGATGAAAGCTCCTTGGTAGAACCCAATGCATTAGTTTTTACTTTGTCTGGTATGTCCTTCGAAGTTGATGGTTTTAGTAACTCACCAACATTAGCTTCTGAAACTTGCTTCAAAGAATGAGCAGTGATACGTTCTTGAACTCCAAGTTCTGTATTGCTTGATGCAAGCTCCTTTGAAAAACTTGCTGCAATGGTTTCTATTTTCATCGGTCCATTCTTTAAATCTAATTCTTTTGGAAGCTCACCAACATTACCTTCTAGGACTTGCTTCGAACCAGTATTAGTAGTGATAGCTTTGTGATCACCACATTTTGAATTGGTTGATACAACTTCCTTGACAGAATTCACTACATTAATTCTTATTTTTTCGGGTTCATCCTTTGAATTTGATGATTTTGACAGCCCACTAGCATTTCCTCCTGACACTTGCTTCAAACCTGTATGAGTAATCATAGTTTCTTGAACACCAGATCTTGTATTATTTAATGCTGCATCCTTGGTAAACCTAACTGCATTAGTTCCTACTTTAGCCGATCCATCCTCTGAATCTGATGGTTTTCGAAGCTCACTAACATTACCTTCTGAGACTTGCTTCAAAGTCATATGAGCAGTGATAGTTTCTTGAACATTAGATCCTGCATTACTTGATGCAACCTTCTTGGTAAAACCCATTTTATTTGTTCTTACTTTTGCAAATTTATCCTCTGCATATGATGGTTCTGTAATATTACCAGCATTCCCTTCTGACACTGGCTTCATAGCAATATCAATGGTAGTTTCTTGGACACTAGATCTTGTATTGTTTGATGAAATCTGCTTGGTAGATTCCATTGCATTAACTTCCACTTTTTCTGATATGCTCTTCGAATTCAATGATTTTAGTAGTTCATCCACATTACCTTTTGAAATTTTCTTTGATGCACTACCCGTAGTGACAGCTTCTTGAGCAGCAGACACTGTGTAACTTGATGTAGTCTCGTTTTTAGAACCCACTGCATCATTCGCATTTGATTGTTTTGGTAGCTCACTCACATTACCTACGAATACCATCTTCAAACTAGATTTAGTAGTAACAGCTTCTTGAACACCAGACCCTATGTAACTTGATGCAGTCTCGTTTTTAGAACCTACTGCATCATTCGCATTTGATTGTTTTGGTAGCTCACTAACATTACCTATGGAGACTAACTTCAAACTAGATTGAGTAATGAAATTTTCTTGAGCACTAGATCCCCTATTTCTTGATGCAATATCCTTGGTAGAATCCACATCATTAGTTTCTACTTTTGTTAATATATCTTTCGAATCAAATGGTTTTGCAAGCTCACCAACATTAACCTCACAGACTTACTTCGAAGCAGTATGAGTAGTGGTAGGTTCTTGAACGCCAGATTCTATATTGCTTGATGTAGATTTAGAAGTCACTGAAGATAAATTTGTCAAACCAAGGTCCTGAACATCACTGACTTCCTGTATTTTCACATCCTGAATTGTACTTGAATCCTCTTTGGACACCAACAAGATGGAAGTCGGTTCCTAAAATATCAAAGAAGCCATAATTTAGAATCTTATATAGATTTATATAGTTTTTAGTATAAATTTCCAAAATCGAGTATAATTGCAACTTCACATGTCAAACTAAATGATATGACCAAACCATAATAATTGGTTGATATAAGAATTGTTAGATGCATAAATAGTCAAATATGCTTGCACTACAAAATGTGGATGCAACAGAAGCAAATACAGCTGCAATACAAGATTTCAATAAAATATGAAACCATGGAAGGTGCATAAACATATCATGTAGTTAGACATGCATATATCCAGAATCTCTTATTATTGATAAATCAACAATACAAATTCCATGAGAGCATTATGTATGCCACATGTGAAGTAAATTACTTGGACATGCACATCAATTAAACTGAGAAAAATAGAAAGAAAAAAAAACATCGATATGCACAACTTGACATTGCCTTCATGCACAATTATGTGGTTTACAAAGACATTTTGCATAGAACTTTCACTTTGATAGAACTAAAAAAGAACATGGCAGCTTGATGTCAAAGGAAAAAATTGGCGTTTAATAACAATAATGGTGTGCTGTAGATAATTCAAAAGGTACCTAAGTAAACCATGTGATCAAAAGACGTACAAACCTACAAATTTTGATTGAGGAAACAAGTTTAAACATTCTCTAACACATAGTGCTTAGGTAACTTACAGTAAGTGCCTTGTGATCATCAAAACGCGGTTCAACCATGGATTTATCTGACCAGGAAACATGCTTCTCATGTTCTAATGGTGGATTTTCTTTGGAAGAAACATATTGATAACTAGAATTTGAAGAAGCTTAATTCTCGTCCAAATTCTTAAAACGATCGACATCCGAATCTGAATTTGATATCAGTTTAGATATGTCTACTCGCATGCCTAAAGAAATTGAGTCAAAGGAAAATGCCCTTTCAGACGTTGAAGGGCTTGAGTCATAGATTGGATCATAGATTGGCTCCTTATGTTGATTGTCATCCACCATACCGCTCGTAAAGTGGACTTCTAAATCACCAAGTGAAGGTTGTGGTGAAACTGCAACCTTTAGAACGATATCACTTCTTGATTTGGAACTTGATGATCCACCTTTCCTTACATCTGAAACCTTTTCATCCACTTCTGACAATGATGACAAGCTTGACTCATCATTTATTTCCATAGGAGTAGCAAAGCCTCCTGTACCCAACACGCTTGGTTTCGAATTTTCCACTTTGCCCAATTTTATCTCTAGCTCATCATGTTGAACACCTTTTTTTCCATATTGTTCCATTATTTCCAGAGAATCTACATCTTCAAAGGATTGACTTCCATGGCCAACAAGATCATAAGATTGGTAAATGTTGGAGATCACTTCTGCTTCTTTAGCAAAGTCTTGCTCACTAAACTTTCTATCATCCATATTTGCTGCAGAACTCACTGATTCAGTATCAAGACTAGAACTCAATTTCAAATCACTAGCATCGCTTGATTGTCCTTGTAATGAGGAACAGCTTGCTCCTTCTGGAGCTAACTGTTCTAGTACAAAAAAAGGCCTCCACTTAAACTCTTGCCTCTCTTGCTTAGCATCCCCTATGCTCGATGGTCCCAAATTGAAGCCTTCATGCCTATGAAAGAACACTTCCTTGGGTTGAGATGTCATAAAGTGTTGTTGAAAATGGTCTCCCTTGGCATGATCAGGTTTATTTTCATTTGACTCATAAGGAAGATGAAATGGGTTTTTTCTTGGCAACAAAATCGATGGAGCAGAACCAGGAATGGGTGGTAACCCCATGCTATCATACGAACTATCATATTGAGGATCAAACGGGTTATGCTTTGTTGTCAATATTGGTGTAACATTAAAAGGATTTTCAGAACTATCTAAATCAATTAGATTCTTCTCAGCTGGTAAACTGAAGCTTTTCGTTGCTCTTCTCCTCACAATAGTTTCTAGGCATTGGTTCCTTTCAAGCTCCAAATTCCCCAAATCCATGAGATTCTTTTGGTCATCCTCTGTCCATTTGATTGCAAATTCATCTTCCTTTCCACCATGTGCTTCTTCTTCATCACCGTCATTATCATCAACCCCGTCCTCTTCTACTTCTCCACCTTTGTTTCGAATATCCTCATTTAACTCATTACTGCCATCGTTACTTCTATCAGTCTCAGAATCAGACTCATCATTAGCAGGTTGTGGAGCTTCTAAGTCTAAAAGAGGGCATAGCTCATCAAGGATTGGAAAAATGTCAACGATTGATGCATCTGGTGATGAACTCTCTGCCTTATCTGACCTATAATCTGAAGCCTCATCATCATCAGCATCAACATCACCACCACTAAGCTCCAAGTAGTGATCACCCTTATGAGCATCAACCGAATCTCGATTCTCATCTCCTACCCTTTGAACCAAAGAATGCTGCTTCTCATCAATTCTCACTTCCCTTGTCATGCCTTCATGCCTCGCTTTCTCCTTTTCAATATTTCGCCGGCTTTCCAACTCCTTATTGTCTAATTCTCTCCCTAACTCGGTCAATCTCTTCTCACTCAGAATGTTCTGCAAGCTCTCATTAATAAGTGGCACATATCTAACTGAACCTTCATAATCATCAACCTCACTACTCTCTGCAGTGTCCCTAGACTTTCGTAAAAGCCTTCCGATGGGAAAGCTCCCCTCTGTCTCAACAACAATGTCATCCCTCGAAACTTGAGTTCTAAGAGAAGCAATGGCACGGCTAATCTTTTGTTCCTTTTCGATTTTGGGTATGTCGGACTGGCCAAAAATCAAAAGGGTCCCAAGAAGAACAACAGAGCAGACAAATACAGGGGATGCATACACCAAAAGAGAAAACACAAAAGGAAATTCTCTATGCAGAAATAACAAGAAAAGCAGCATTCCCACAAGAAATGGATGATTGCAAACTGATCTGTAACATGTTCTGATTGAAATGCTCACAGATTTCCTGATCTTAACTCCAATTTTTAACACTAATTCCATGATTACTGCCGCTGAATTATAATTTTAAGCTCCAATCTACATGAATATATATAATTAATTAGACAAAACAGTCATTTGGGTACCCCAATAAATCAAAATTAAAAGCAGAAAATTATGAAAAATATAACAGAACATAAAGCCCACCTCAGAAGTTGAACCAAATGAAAATTCCAAGAAAATCAAATGAAGATGGACCCAATACCTGGAAGCAAGAAATTGAAATAAAAGTTGAGACTTTTGGTAAAAAGAAGAAAAAATGGAAATGAAAAGTGGCTGGAGAGAAAACGAAAGGACTCACCAGAAGAAGAAAATGGCAATGCAAATATCAGAGAAACCTGCATTTTGTTATTGGTAGCCATGCAATTGCAATTTTGCAAATGCATTCTCTGATTAATCAATTATATTTGCAGATAAAATTATGCTTGAATTAAGAATGTTTGATGGGTAATGTGAGTGGAAGGGATGATCACTGCAAACCATGAACGACAACAATTGAATATCCATTATTTATTTATTTTGGTTTTTTTGTTGTGTTTTGGGTTTAGTCGGAAGTTCAATGTCTCACCGCCTCAAACAACGGATGATGTTCACGTAAAAAGTGCTTTTTCAGACTCAACATTGGTATTGAACCTATATGGGCTTTGACCAGATTTTTGGGTGATTACGATTAACTTCGTCAATTTTTCTATTTATAAAGTTGCATGTGATTCGCACGTAATATTTCAGAACGACTGCATATTAGTATTTCAAACGTCACAATATCCTTCAAAAAGATCACGTGCGAGTCGTGGAACTTTTCCACAGAGAGAGTTATAAGGATATTGGATAAGTATACAATTAACACCATTAAAAGATTTTGCTTTGTTCACCACCTTCAACCAGCATAGTACCTAATACATTCATTTCTCATCAGCTCCCTTCAATGCCAATAATGCAGCTCCATAAGCAGCCTCCGTTTGAGTTGCACGACTCACCGGCAGACCGAGTACCCTCTCTCTTATCTTGGTCCATTTCTCGTTCTTGGCACCACCTCCGGCTGTGAACACTTGATCAACTTGAGTTGCTCCTAGATCCTTCAGTAAGCTGTAAGCTTTCGCCTGTTTCAGTTCACAAGTGAAGGTTTCAGTGTCATCAGCCTCTGATTTTGTTTATTATGTCTCTCATATTTCCATGGTGTTTGTCTATCGAGCTTGATTAGAGGGAAGGAAATCTCCGTACCTCTATACGCGCAATGGATTCAAGAATCCCTTGCAGAAACTCCACCTCACTTTCTGGGCGTGGATGTAACCTGCACAAAGAACAAAAACTAATCAACCATCCAAAATACACTAGTGAGTTTGTTCGCAAAGACGCATACATGTGCATAAAAGCACGTGGGTATGTATCTTCGTGTATAGTTAGTCACAATAAAAATACATGAGATGTCTGTTTTGAGCTACATCGTTTTCTTCAGGCAGATTACGCTTCCATGAAATGTTCATTGTAGCGTTAGATGACCAAGCTGTGGAACATGATCCCATGAACATTGTTAAGCCCGACGAAGCTTAAAATGCTAACGTATATACCATGAACTTGGTGCATTCATTGTGCTCTGCTTCCAGTGAATAAACTAATGCGAACATGTAATGTTTCTAGAGAAACCATGTTATCGTGCACTACTTTTATTGCGCAAACAAATGACCAAGTTTCTGCACATTAAGGTCCAAGCTTATATGCAAAAAGACCAGGATAAATTGGATGATACTATCAAATATCTATCATAACAAGATCCATTTCTAGTTTATCTCAAAAAGTACAGACAATACAACGTACCTAGGAGCCAAATTTGGATCTGCAACTGGAAACCTCTCGCCAACTGTTTGCAGAGGGTAGTAGTCTAGAGAAGAGGTTTCCATGGGATTAATTTGCTCGCTCAATCTCTCTAGTTGCTCATCAGTAAAAATTTGTCTAAGAACAGCTCCACCGGTATTTGACGCGCCTCCAACAAGCCACTTATCATCAAGGCGATGACTATACACTCCAAACCGCGCATCTTCAATCCTAGTGGTGCTCAGAAGTTTTATTGCGAGCGTAGAACCTAAAGAAGTGACCTATATACAAAAACCATATACAGTTCAAAACATAAGGATCAATAGTGCTCGAGTGCATTGAGAATCGACAAAATCTCAGGAAACTAATAAATGCATCATCTGTACATGTGAAAAACAGCACTATCAATTTCAAAGAAGGCAGCAAGATAGGGTTTGCAAAATATTTGAAGTGCTGGGGTGTAAATTATGGTGGAAAAAAAGAATACAGAGCGATGCATATAGAAATTTAAGACTCAGCGATGTGGGTCTGCCAGTATGGCTACGGCTATACCAAAGAAAATTTTCACATCAAGAGATACATATAATACAACTAATTTTGTGTGTGTAAGAAGGAACACAGAGAACTCTCACAGCTTTCCCAGGTTGTGTTGCACGAGCTGCTAGAAACGCCGCTATACTATCAGTGGTTCCTGTGCATACAACACAATCATTTGGGAAACCTGCAAGGACATTTTATATATTGTCAGGATAACAGTGCAGAAAGATGCTAAGACATGTACTGCATAACTTGCAGTATCTCTTCACCATTCACTCTAAACCTGAGTAAACAAGCGGTAAAAAGTTATAAAACATAAATGTATAAAATGATGTGTCCACTACTGGCCAAGTTGCAAGAACACATACCGAAATCTGATCTTATGTCATCTTTCAAACGACCAATTGAAGTTCCAGGAGCTCTCACCGAAGGTAAAAGCTGTGAATATGGCTGAGAGAGAAGCCAAGGTGGATAGGACTCAAGCTCAGGATCATAACCCACCTAAGACATGTACAAATAAAATCGCGTTTTCTAAATGTAGATATTTAATCATTTGTAGGCAGAAGATGTAAAAAAGAAACCTAAAAACGGATAGCTGAAAAACTACCTTCAGAGCATTATTATAATCAGACACTCCAAGCTTTCCATGAAGAAGCCACAACAGCCAATCTGCTTGATGTAACAAAAGTGCAGATTTCTTGTTTGAATTGTCATTCTCCCACCACGAGACAAGCTTGCACAGAGTGGAGGAACCAGAGCAGACTGTATGATTCAGAGGAGCGATAGACTTTACCGTCGGTAAAGCATCAGGGCAACTCTCATTATAGAGGAAAGGTTTACATAACGGTTCCCCCGTACTGCTGCATATTCAAATTCAAAAGCCTACTTCAAATGTGATTATACAAAAACAAGCATAAGCATCAAATCTCTAAGCCAACCACCTGTCTACAATGAGAGTAGTTGCAGAAGTCCCATCAATGGAAATGGAAGCAATAAGCTCACGGAGATGGGATGGAACGTCTTCAAGCAGCGAGAAGAGTGTCGCTTTCCATGAACGTGCCCAATCCACTTTTTCTTGACTCTTTCTAGACAATGTAAAGAATATATCGAATACTTGGACTATAAAATATGATGCAGTAACTTAGGAAACGGAAACCAGTTCATTCTTCTTAATAATTATAAGATCCGCCATAACGAAATCCAATTTTGACCTCTGACCTATCAAATTATACTCGAAAACCACTAATTCCACGTAGCTTCACCATTGTACGATATGGACAACTTTTTCTTTCTTGGTCGAAATTTTTAACAAACAACTTCTGACTGAAAATTTACCTTTAATAATTCACTCCCTCTCAACCATTCTATATGAGAAAATCAAGTATCAAGAAACTACCACAACCCCATTACAGTACCATTCAACAACTCTAGTTCAAGCACAAGCATTGTACCAATTTTTAATGCATACACTACACTCCCTGTATTAGTCATCACAGGAAATGATTTCGAAAATGGTCTCAAGCATTTTAGTCAGACAAAATTGACCATATGGACATGCTCTATTAAGAACCTCACTATATGATGACTGACCAGATATTAGAGTGCGTGTCAGCAATGTGGTCAGTTTTGTGTGTCGAAATAGCATTACTCAAAAAACTAAAGTTTGAAAGAAATGATTAGCTGCGTAATACCATAAAAAGAGGGTACTCTCTCTTTCCCTCAGCATGAATAGTCCCTCGCTTGTCGATGAGGGCAAACCTCGCTCCGGAAGTACCGAAGTCCATTCCGAGATAAAGCCGCTCCTTCCCAACTGAAACACCAACCTGAGCTTCATCGTCATTGCTTCCAACAGCCATTGGTACTTGTGGACCTCTTGGCCGCCATCTCGGTCTTGCTTGCTTGTTATTCACGCCATTACACAGCCCATTTCTTGAAAACTCGGTCCGTAAACTGAACATCCCTGAAGCATCAAACACTTATCAGCTTGAACTTGATGCACAACTACTATAACTACTTGGTGTTGGTGATGAGAGAGAGAAAGAGAGAGAGAGACCATGTGTATGTGTATGTGTCGGGGATGTTGACCATGGAAACAGGAAGGAGGTTGCAGTTGCAGGATTGTAAAGAGAGGCAAGCAGCATACTCTTGCAAGTGTGGTGCTCTCTGCTTTTAGCTCTACTGAGATAAGTGACGAGGGGACGGAAGGAGCAGCCTTTCAATTGGGACTCACATCACGTGAATAAACTTGGGCCTATTTTCGGTCCCCTTTTTGGGCCTTTGGGTTCTCCTTATTAAGTCACTTTGTTTTTTACTCTTTCTCGTATCATTTTGTCTTAAGGAAAATAATAAATACACACCATTTTTTAACATAACGAGAAGAGAAACGCAAAGGTATCGTTCCAATGTCAGGAAATGAATTGTAATATATAACTCACAAAATTCAATTTATTTTGAATGGGAAACGAATGTCAGCTTCTAGACTTTGTGCAAATTGAAATGAGATGATGAATTTTTCATAAAGAAAACTTATGATTTCAATCCTCCCATTTTGTAGGGATTTTGAAGGGATTAAGAAGTTGTTTGGAAGTGAGGTGCTTAAAAAAAAAAGCACCCATGAAAAAAAGCTGTGAGGGTTTTAGGTGTTTGGTAAACTAAAAACAAATGGCTTATTTTGGAAGCTGCTGTCAGAATAAGCTGAAATCAAAGGAAAAAGCTGAAGCTGCTATTTGCAGCTTTGGAAAACTGGTTTTTTTTTCAAAGCACACGGAGCTACAGTGCTCCTTTAATGAAAAGACCCACTATCAGATTGCTTTTTTTTCCAAAAGCACTTTTACAAAAAAGTTTACCAAACACTCTGCTGATTTATTTCACATCCGTTTATTCTCACAGCACATCTGCTTATTCTCACAGCAGCTTTTTTTTAAAGTACAACAATACCAAGCATTCCAGACATAAAGTATGGAAAGGTGTCTAGAACTTCCCCACAGGACCTACCCCCAACCTAGAGTAGCTAGATGATGAGAGATTTTTCAATGCGACCGTCACACGAGGTGGTACACCACATGTTTCTATATAAATGGTTGAATATGTGTATTAAAAGATTAATAACTTAAAAATTAAAATTTTTCACCACTTACATAAAAACACGTGATGTACCATCCATGTTCCCATCACAACTAAAAATTTTTCCCTAGGTGAGGAAGTCGTGGTAAGAATGAGTTTTGCTCTAATGCTCAAAAATAATATTCTAAAGCTTTCGTACGTTCTCCGTTACTTATGTGGATAAGGCCTATGGTATAGATTATATAACTTCTTGCGATTATGCACTATTTGAATAAGAATCCATTTTTTGAAATATCCCCGCTTTTGTGCTTTGGTGGGTCTTCAAGATCCTTTCAATGACATATGTGTTGAAGGGATATCTATATGATTCAATCGATTGCGTAAAGCCCACAGTAGCAATGGAACTAGGGAAAGTATACAGAAGGGATATCTATATGATTCGATCGATTGCGTAAAGCCCACAGTAGCAATGGAACTAGGAAAAGTATACAGAAAAGACTGTTATTTTCTATTGCATTAGCATTTTCATTAGTACTAGATTAGTATTAGTTCGTGATCTCAGCTCAGTGATTCATATGTGTTCTTCATGATTAATTCATCCATTTAGTAAATTATATATTTCAATCCAATTATTATACCAAACGAAGCAAAAAATTCTCATGTGACAAATCACAAAAATAAAAAGATAAACAAAAAAAAAACAAATTATGGATCATTGAAGCACTACTTAATATATTTTTAGTAATCTAAAATGAAAGTTCTTCGATTTGGTGAGTACAATTATCTTGTATAGGATTGGATGACATGACACAATGAGATTGGACGTGGGGATCTTCTTGTTTAAGCTATACATTGATCCGATTTAGATTGATATTTTTATGCTGAAAAGTGAAAACAACAAAAAAGGGAAAACAACAAAAAGGGGAAGAAAATAAATAAATAAGAAACAATGGAGCCCAGGTGAGCAAAAGGCCCCAACTGCACGTGAGTGAGGGAGGCATTTGAAGAACGTCAGAGAAAAAAGTGGGGAAAGGTAAGGGTGAGGGCGACAGGACAGCTTAGTTTAGCTAGCTTCTCTTCTCCTCAAGGTCCCTCCACTCAAACACCTCTAAAGACGGGACCACACAAACACCAGAAACAAAAAGATTTTGCAAATGCATTATATTTAAGGATGTAATATCCACACACCCTATTTTACTTCTCACACATCTTTTTAATTTTTTGACCATCGGATCGGATGAATTGAAGAAGATCAACGGACAGAAATTATCAAGGGGTATATGAGAAGTAAAATAGGATGTGTGGATAGCACATCCCTATATTTATATTGGTTTTGGCAATTTCAAGCCCTCCAAGAGCAAATGAGTGCCAAATTATTTTGAATTCTTTCCTTGTACTCTTGCATCGTACCAGAATATGTAATTATGTATGATTTAACCTGACCCAGAGAATGAAAGAAGCACAAGGCCTTTTTATTGAATTGTCTTTTTTTTTTCTTTTTTCTTTTTTAATTTGAATTTCTTTTTTCTTTTTTAATAAAAGTGATATTTTATATTAAAATTATTTTCAACTCTTTGGTTAAAATCTACAAACTTTAATCTAGAAAATTTAGGTTTTGACCTAAAAACAGTTTTTCTCTCTAAACCTTCTGAGTTAAATTTAAAAAAAAAAAAATACTAGGCGTACGTATATGGTGGGTCAGCGCATTAACCCAAGGGGAAATTTTAGGCTAAATTTACCCCAGAAATAAATTTTGGGTTAAAACTCATATTTGGTCCAAGGGTTGGAACAAGTTGGGGTAGGTTTAGAACCTAAAATTTAAGTTTTACTCCAAGAGTTGGAGTAGGTCTAAGAGGGGGTTAAACCCAGTGCGCAGTGAATTAAAAAGGAATACTTTAACCACTAAGACAATTCATTGCTTGCCTCAAAAGACTATTTTTGAATAACAAAATAAAAATGCGACTCCACCCAAATGAAGAATGGTAGTTCCACCATTGTCGATTATGTTTTGTAATACTAACTAGCAAAACACACTTAAAAATAGTATTCTTGTATTCTTTCATGACAAAAGAATTAATGAAATGTAAAGTGCAAGACAAGTATTTTGAAGTGTTAAGTCATTGACGTTAGCCTAGTGGTGAAGATGGGTATGAGAATATGTAGAAGTACGTTATGGTTCGAAACCTTTCGATATAAAAAAAAATGAAAAATGTGTTTAGCCAAGTTTAACATGTTTTTATTTGTTCTTAGTTTCTTCATATTCTTTTTTTTTTTAATCAAGGAGAATAAAGAGTGTGCCATGCTAAAAGAATAAACTTTTTATTTAAATTCAATCATAGTCTTTTTGTTTTTATGCCAATAGTTAAACAATAGTCGAGGTTATCAATTGTATATCATCTCCATAATAGAAAGTCAAACTCAGGAATGCATAAAACTTGCCATTTTATTGTTTAATTAATATGAAGTGGTTATATAATATTCAATGCTACAAAAATGGGTTTAAGACACGACTCCAATACCCACGTTGATGGTAGACTAATCCCCTCCCCATGCAGTCCAACACCACATGAGACAGTAATGTACTTTGATTCTAAAATGGTACGTCAAAACAGAACCAGTAACCCGATGTGAGTTCAAATTCGGGTTGAGATTTCCAAACATTTGTTTGCTTTCTACTAGACCAACCCCTTGGAGTTTGAGGATTGATACACGAGACATCTTATGTTTCAACATATTGAAAGACAAGTATGACTAAATTAAAAGCTATTTGAAAGCTCATTCGTTTGTTAATTGATCAATAAGCATAGTCGTCCACTAATCATGCTACATACCAAACTTAACTTTAAATAACAACAAAAAAATATTAACCATATAATTCCAAAACCAAAAGACTAGATAACCCCACAATCCAAGTAGCATCCAAATGTATTCTTTCTAACATTTATTTTTGTTAACAGAACTTACATGATTAATGATTTGAAAGTAAACTAATGAAAATGACATATGTTCACTCCTCGATCTGGACTGCTACAATGACTGCAGCGGTGCTCTGCATCGGTAAGGTTCGTCTGGCCATTGCGTTGAGCTGCGAGGAGCAGAGGCATGGGGTTATGTCATTGTTGTCGATACAAATTTTCACCATTTTCAGTTTTGACAAAAATGCATCTGCAAAACAATCAACACATTTAATCAAATATCAAAAGCCTCACGCACCCATGATGAGTTGGGGGGGTTTGACAAATGGATTTCTAATGCTAAGTTAGTCTCTCTGAAAAGAGTGAGTGTTTAGCGTAATCTATGTATAGAAAAGTTTCACTTGTTTTTTTTGTGGAGAAATAAGGTATTTATAGGGAAAGTGGCCGATTTTTAGTGTAGGTTTTGGGGAGAATATTCCCAAGATATTGTGTAAATAAATCTTGGAATAATTGTGAAGATATTCCAGAATAAATGTGATTGAGATTACTTACTTGATAGGGTTTGTCTTCAATTGAGAGTGTATTAAATGTAGGATTTAGTAATTAATTCTATATCTAATGTCTTTGACTTTTCCTTGCCACGAGCAAGGTAGCTTTGAGCAATCATAGTTAGTTGCTTGAACTTTCCAGGGATGATGAGCTGTGCGTGGGAGTACCTGAGAAGTTTGCCCATGTAATGAGGGCAATCTTTTCTTTCTCAGGCAAAAGTCCATGTGTCACCTTGTGGATTTTTGTGGTTATTTTTTGGCTCCACATGGTCTCCGTCCTTGAACATAGGGCGTTCCGTTCATCATGGTTTCAAAATTTTCCACCATTGTATCCTTTCCTCCAAGGCTAATCAAATACCCTTTTAAAAATTTCAGTGGCTAGGAGCATGTGAGAAATTTACGTAACAGAAAAGTCTGAAAGTAATTGTGAGAGCCTTTTTCGAGAATTAAATCGAGCGTCTATGAAAGCACCAATTTGTGGTAGCAAATTCTCACCATCTTTAGTCTTGAAAAAATTGTACCCACAAAACAAATAAACACCTTTGATCAACTGCCAAAGCCATGTGTTTCCATGAGGGGGTTAGCCAATGAATATCTGATGCCCAAGTAAGTTTTCAGAAAAGAGAGATTTTAGGGCTTAATTGCGTATCAA